TGGGTCGTGCATGCAGGAATGTGTATGTCTGAGCTTGTGTGTGTGTGTGTGTGTGTGTGTGCGCGTGTGTGAGGTCTACCATCCACGGAGCTCAGCAGCAACAGCTACACACCAGGTTATGTAACCCATCTGTGCCAGCTGTGCCTGTGGCAGTCAGTGTCTCACACACCAGACACACAGTCCCACACACTCAACCACACACACCTGAAGAGGATGTTTGCATGTGGAGACATTTTCTTGTTTGAAGGCAAGAACTTGGAACAAAATGTTGTTTCAACAAACATTAGAGACCCCCATTTTATTATTTTTTTTTGACTGTTGTTTAAACCCACTTGGATAAATTAGGTGTTTATTGATGCCTTTTTTTAATCGAGGCTGGGTGGCAAGAAGAAGAGAGGTCTGATGTTTAACCCCAAATGAAGCAGGCAAACAAGCTGGGAATGTAGCTCATGAACGGTTTAAGGATGAGTGGTTTCTGACAGTGGATCGCTGAAGTTGTTATGTAACATAAAAAGGAATGGGGCAGGGGGTGAGAGGTTGTGGGATGAATGTTTACTTAGTGGTGTGCTTTGGTTAGAACATGTTTAAGGTCATAGACACACAGTTGACTCCTAGGGAAAGAGTGGAGAGTGTGTTGCTGAATGTGGTTTAAAAAAAGCGAAGAGAATGAAGAAGATGATGAATAAAGTGACGATGTGGTCGAGTGGGAACAGCTGGGAACAAACCAGAAAAACCTACACAAACAGACAAATTAATAGAAAATAACCGTTTGCCTATAAAAAGAGACTAGAACCCAAGGTTATATAAACTTTGCGTCTTCCTATTAAAGCTCGTCTAGCCTTGAAGCAGCGCTGCATTATGACACACGTTATGCATGACTTTCTTTGTTCAGTTCTCATCCTGCAGCCACTCACAGACATTCACTCTGCAGTAAATATGTGACGAGTCAGAATGAACCACATAGGTTTGTGGTGTTCGAATCTTGCTCGCACAGAAGTTACTGAGAATGTGAAAGAAACTATCTCAGATTCTTTCACACAAGTTTTATTGTTTCCCTTTTGTCCTTGCATACTGGTTTAGTTCTTAATTGGGGCTAGCCATCAGATAAAGTCTAGACGACAGTGAGCAGGTCACGGCAGGTTGTTGGCTACAAATGAAAGCTGATCTTTAAAATTGGACCTTTTTCACTTCCTGTGAGCTGCACTGCTCTGCTAATACCATCTCCAGTCAGTGACAAATAACTGTTTAAAGTGAAGTTATGCATGAGAGCAATTCTTCAGCCCAGGTGCACATCTGTCGGGTGCTGTGTTGCACGGACAAGCAATTGCGTTGTGCACTGATGTAACCCCATGGGGGATGATATCTGGAAACTGGGTACCCTTGATTCCCCCTTAGAAGCTGTCCACACCACTTCCTCCCTACTGCATTCTGGTTACATCACTGCATGACTAAGCTCATTTTACACATACACATACACACACATGCACACACACTCATGCATGCACACATGCACCATACTTTATAGTGTGAAACAGACTTTAAACTGCACAGTAGGACAGAAAGAAGTTTCAGCAAAATAGCTATGATTTGTGTCCCTTTGCAGTTTTATTGCTGGGCTTGCAGTTTTGATCCTCTTTAGGTGAGTGAGTGATTGTTATGTTGGCTCTCTTTAAGATGAATAATTCCCTCCCTGTCTTTTATTTCTTGTGATTCTCTCTGCTTATCAGTGGTTGCATTGGAAACCGTTGTGATAAACCTCCTGTCTCTGACTGTCTGCCACAACCAGTTGTTTTTTTTTTCTAATCCCATATGTCTTTTAGAGCATTTCATCGACAGTGCAGGGCCACTTGTAGAATTACAGGTTTCTCAATAGGCCCTTCATCGCTCTTTTCCCATAGCACCAAGAAAAGTGACACTTTGGCAGCTGCTGTCAATGTTTATTAGGTAACTGCAAGGTTGTGCGATCCCTTTTTTATTGCCTCTTCCGTGTCTTGTCTGCCTGTGGTACGTGCTTCCAAAGGTGTCAGCGACGCACAGGTGGGAAAGGAGAAGGGATATTTATAACTCTGAAAGTCCTGTTCAAACAACAGCGCCTTTGACTGACTCTTTTCCTCCGTCTCAGTGAGATAGGTAAGGATGTCTGTGCTGCACTTCCTGGAGGATGTTATTTGACTCTCTTTCAAAAGAAATCAGTAAACATGAAAAGGCTTTTGTTGTTTTTGATAAGGGCAATTAATGTCTTTAGGTATTTGAGGAAAAAAAGCAACAGTGATTTTTGCAGAAAGGGTGGAAATACCCATGGCTCTAAGTTTGAGACTTTGTCGCATTTTTGCGCACATGGCTTGTGTGTCTGATGCCATTTTTAGCTGCTGGTGTCTGTCACTGCTGGACTGAAGTGTTGCGCCGGCATACACGTCAATGGAATAACAAGTGAAGGCCTTTATGAATGTTTCAGATGCTCTATTTATGGGGGCCCCGCTGTGGCTTGGAACAAGTAGCAATGACGAACGGACTGATTAATTTGACTGCAGTTTAGTTTGTAGGCCAATAGTTGGGCAGTGAATCAGACTTCTTCAGGAATGTTTTAAAATAGGTCTTAGTCGGGACATGTCAGAAATCTTCGTTTTAGCGGTTTACGAGGAAAGGGTTTTGGTAGGCTTTTCGGTGCTTTCAATGGGTTTTAAAAAGTTGAAGTTTGTTCAGTTGCGCATAACTGTCTTTCTCTTGTTCATAAGTAAAGTTGATAGATGGTCAACGTTGCATCTCCTTTGCGCAAGACATAAAGTTAATGCTAAACACTGAAACAAAATACATACAATTTAACTACGTATAAATGTCCTGTATGATAAATTTGCTTTTTTGTTATTAGTTAGAAATGTTACCATCTCTCATTGCGTTATATCAGAAAGAAAACTGACCTCAGTGCTTTAGGCTGGCAGACCCTGTCCAGTGAACAAGGAGAGCTAAGGACGCTGGCCTTAAGAGAAGTCTCTTTTGTCTTTCTCTCTTTTACTGCCTCTCTTGGTCTTGTTGCAAGACTAGCTCTGTTTTGTCTTCTTCAGCTTGTGAGCGTGAGGCATTTGCTTCTCCGAGGGGTTTGGCAGAAGTATCTGCAGCCGTTTGGGGCTTTGAGCCTCAACAATGCATTCCCTTGGCTGGATTGGACAAGAGTCAAAAACCATTGATGCCAGTCACTTTCATTTTCAAAATGCAGTGTCAATCCTCCTGCAGTACTTTACCCAGAGTGGATTTTAATTTTCTACAAACATTGAATTAACCTATCTCCCAATGGTTTTATGTTTTCCAGGGCTCTCTCCATGGATATAGACACAGACTATGAGCGGCCCAATGTGGAAACCATTAAATGTGTGGTGGTGGGGGATAATGCAGTAGGTAAGACCAGGCTAATCTGTGCCCGGGCCTGCAATGCCACACTCACTCAGTATCAGCTGCTTGCCACCCACGTGCCAACCGTCTGGGCCATCGACCAGTACCGTGTATGCCAGGAGGTGGGAACACACATGTGCACACACACACACACACACACACATACACACACACACAATGCAGTTACATTGTAGGAAAAGCCTCAAACAATCAAATGTTTTGTAAGATAAAACACTTTATTACAGGACTATAAAAGCTAAAGTTTGACATTGTGCATGTTTTTTTAAAGCCGTTTTTTTTATTCCTTTAAACCATAAACCTCACAATGAAAAATGACCTTTGACCTTAACACAGGCTATAAATTATGTATATGTCTGTGTTGCAGGTGTTGGAGAGATCTCGTGATGTGGTGGATGAGGTCAGCGTGTCCCTGAGGCTATGGGACACATTCGGGGATCATCACAAAGACAGGCGGTTTGCCTATGGCAGGTGAGAACACATGCACACATGCATGACCCCCCCCCCCCCCCCCCCCACCACCACACACAAACAGTTTCAGTCTTGCAGACAAAATTAGTGACTGACCCAATGACACATTTGCTGACCGGCTAATCGCACAGCTAACTACCTTGAAACACGTTCCAGTTTTACAACTGGTTCAGCCTGGCGTTAAGACACTGACACAGTTCCCAGTTAATCCCAAATCAATTGCTGGCGGATTTGAAAAATAAAACTTGGTTGGCTTTAAAAAAATACTTCTCATAATAAGACTGTAACTAACGTGTCAAGACAGCACAAACAAAAGTCACTTATCCCCAGACTGTTTTTATGTAATCTTTTTACAGCTATATTTAGTTTTTTGTTCGGAAGCCTTTACATCCCTCCTCTGCCTGGCATGATTGGATCATCACTTTATTCTCTTACTTGTAGTCTCTCTGTCAGAGCTTCTTTATTGGCATGAAATGCAAAAAAAAAATAAAAATTCAATAACAAAACACAACTGGAAATGCCAAGATTGACTTCAGGACCTAAAAACACACCAAAAGCACAAAAAATGTAGGCGTTTCCTATTTAAGATAACTTTATGGTACAATATTTAAACAATTATCAACAGTCTTGTCTCTGTGAGTTATTGAATGCAGTAATACTGTTTTGGTGTTTTACTATTTTAAAATCATGTCTTTAATAATTAATTATGGGAACGTAACAAAAATTCCCACACATGCAATGCTTGTGCGCATCAGACTGTTCAGCCTGTCAAGGTTGGCTGAAAGCACTTTGTGGAACATGTCACCTTGTCCCCTTTATGCAAAGTGTACGTGCGTGACTGACTTCAGTTATGTACTTGCCAGCTGCATGTGGTTTGGTTTGCAGCTCAAATTTCCACCCGTGTTGTGTTTACCCACTGTCTGGATGTCTGTAAGTTTGCCCAGTGATCTCTTTTTCTTTGTTTGTGTGTGGGCTATCCACTCTGTGAGCCTGCTGATAAAGACACAGTGCCCGCTCAGCTGTTTTTACCTGCCCATTGTTAGCAGCTCCAAGCATCAAGCCTGTTCTCGTACCTGTGCTCTTTCGCTTCCAGGTCTGGTGGTCGGCTCATTTGTCTCTTTTGTCTTAAATTGTATCATAACACAGATTCCCTGAAAACTATATTAACCTTCATCATTTGTTGTCCCATTACCTTTTGGCACCTTGCTTCTCTGTTCCCCCTCTTACACCTGACTTTACATGTAGGCTTTTGTGTGTATCAAAACTCAGACATCGTTGTCAAATTGTCGCATGCTCTTTCAGAGGGGGACAATCTGTTTTGGAAAAGAAAACTGAATATATATATATATATATATATATATATATATATATATATATATATTGAACTAAACTTACCGATAATCTGAATCTGCCTCCATTGATGTAAATGTGCTCTCAGTCAGTCCCTGCCAGCATTCACTTTTTACATACAATGCACAAGATCATATAATGTTGCATAGCAATACATTTGAAATGGTGTGCACATGGGCCTACAGCTAAAACTTGGCTAAATAAACAAACAAACGAGCAACTAAATAAATAAATAAATGAAGCACTTAGTTAAATGTGTGTATACTGTAATCCGTCATTGAATGAAAGGCATTCAGCTACGTCTCAACAACAAAAACTACAACAATACCAACAAAACAGTCAAATGTACATACTATATGTAATTATCCAAACAATAAAAAAAGGTGATTTTTTTATTTTTATTTTGTCACACCTACACCTGTTTTTTCCACAACCATAATGGTAAATATGTTAAAATGCAATATAATCAGGTAGGTTTGATAGTTGTGTGAAGGATTTCAATATTTTGCTAGCAAAATTAATCATTAGCAGACCAAACTAGTAAGAAATAACACACACACACAGATGCATGCACAAACAACAACAACAAAACTTTATTAACATTATTCCTTTGGCTGTCACTTAAAATATTATGAAATCTGTTGGCCTTGAACACGCAGAGGTTTTAATGGATCTGCACATCCATGCTTTGTACTTTGTATACACATTTGCTTGTTCTGCTACTATTTCAACAAGTATATATTACTTCTTCACCATCTGTTGATCTGTCTTTGTTCAATGTCTTCTGCACAGATTTTAAGCTGAGTTAGGCTTCCTTAGATGAACTGTACAGCCCATTCATTTCCAATTTTTCAAACTGCATTTCAGCCTAAAGCACTGCAAGCTGGTTTACTGCCATTCATTCTTCTTAAGCACATGGATGATGCTTCTCATTGCACATTTGAACTCTGCTTTTTACATTTTAGTTGCCTGAACCCACTGTTGGCCATGTCTGACCTAAGAGGATTTGTTATGTTGAAACCTTGGATCTCAATCCCAATGAAGCACCAGTAAAGCCCCTCTGAACATAATACAATAAAAACCCTGTTTGCCCCTTGCCTATTTTTGGCTCAGTAGGATAGCACCTAAAGCTGTCCCACCTTTTATAGGCAACTTTGAGCAATAGTGTTATATGGAGCTAGTTGTGGATTTGCATGAGCAGATTTTAGTTTGTCAGTTATGGCAGCAGGAATGTTATTAGACTAATTAACATTAATATTAACAATTGCATCTGTTAAAAAAGTAATAATTTAGAAACAAAATGACCCGATTTAGAGGTTTAATAAACCTCTAATAAGTTAATTACCACTTTGTGCTTAGACAAGTACTGGTGCATTTTTGATCTCTCTTTTTTACGGTGCATTTTTCGTTTTTTCATTTAGTAGAATAAAACTTTCTGAAGCAAGATTACAGTATTTTGCTTAAGAGGCACATTTAAGAGTTATATAAAGCTTCTCTTGTGTTCAGGAATAGACTTGCCTCAAATCTGATGTGTACTGGTGACAAGTATCATAAATGTCTATGAAATTGTTTTTAAGCTATAGATGATAATTAATGTAACATATGAGTTACATAAGTTGGAGTAGTCATTTGTTTCTCAAGTCAAAAGTCCTGTTTTATTGGACTGTTACAAAGGTAGAAGATTTACAAGTGACACTTTTTTTTTTTGCCTTTTCAGTAAAACTAAAAAGACAAATTAAACATTACCTAGAAATGCACCCTGACAAGAAACAAATTGTCAGTGAAACATCAACACCCATGAGCAGCTGTTAATGTTGCTGTTTCCTTGTTCAGACACATCAGATGAATCTATGTGTGTGTATGCGTGTATCTTAATCCATCTATTCTCAGCCCTCTCTGTTGTCTTTGTTGCCTTTAAAAGAACGGATAGATTTATGCAAGAAACTAAAAAGATACATAAATTACACAAAAACAAGCCCAAAGGCCCAGACTCATGCACACGCATTTAAAAATAAAATAATTCTTGTCTTTTTCTGTAGGTCTGACGTTGTGGTGCTTTGCTTCTCTCTGGCTAATCCCAATTCCCTGCGCCACGTTCGCACCATGTGGTTTCCGGAGATCAAGCACTTCTGTCCTCGAACACCCATCATCCTGGTTGGCTGCCAGCTGGATCTGCGCTATGCTGACCTGGATGCGGTTAACCGTGCACGACGACCGTTAGCGAAGTGAGACGCCCTCATCATCAAGCATTAACAGACACCCTAAAATAAATCCTGCAATGATGTAGCTTCATTGAGGATTGCATGCTCACGCTCTTTGGACATCCAAATGTAACTACCTATCTCTTTTTGATTCACAGACCCATCAAACCGACAGATATTCTTCCCCCAGAGAGAGGCCATGAGGTGGCAAAAGAACTTGGTATTCCCTATTATGAGACCAGCATAGTTGCTCAGTTTGGAGTCAAAGATGTTTTTGACAATGCAATCCGTGCAGCCCTCATCTCTCGCCGACATCTGCAGTTCTGGAAGTCACACCTTAAAAAGGTCCAGAGGCCTCTTCTTCAGGCACCTTTCCTGCCTCCCCGCCCGCCGCGCCCCATCGTGGGCATCCCAGACCCACCTCTTACGGACGGTGAAGGTCCTGACTCCCTTTTCTGTCACCGTCTTTGTGCAGATGTTCTTTTTCTTTTACAGGGTGGCGCCTCAAAAGTTTTTGCGCACAAGGTCTATCTGGCTACATCCTGCTCCAAGTTCTATGACCTTTTTACACTTGATCTTGATGGGTTGAGTAAAGGGCAACGGGGAGAAGAACAGGATAGAAAAGAATATGTAGAGAGTGGGGAAGAGGATGAGCAAAGCAGGAGAGGAGCCAAAGAGCAAGCTGGGCGCACTAAAAGCTTGGATATTGATAAGGACGGTGTAGATGGAAGCATAAGGGGCTTGAATCGACCCCAGCTGCTCCAACAGGGATCATTGAGGACTTCCCGGAGTGACAATGCACTCCCGTCTCGAGCCCAGTACTCCCTGGGATCACTGGGGACGGGACGAGCACTTTCTGGATGGGGAAGGGGGTTCCTGAGTGTGTGCCTGGAGCATGTGGATGATCCCACAACTGGACGGCCTCGACTCATGACAGTAGTAGCCATGGATGCACTTATACAAGAAGAACCATTTAAGGTGATAGTCTTTATAATTATTTTGTTTTTAAAGTTAATTCAGACTTGTGTTTTTGACCTCTCGATTTGCTGTGATTTTAGGCCGTGCTTCAGTACTTGTACACAGGCAATCTGGATGAGAGCCGAAGTGATCTGATGCAGGTGGCCACCATCGCAGAGCTTCTTGAGGTGTTTGACCTACGAATGATGGTGGCAAATGTTCTGAACAGAGAGAGCTTCATGAACCAAGAGATCACCAAGGCCTTCCATGTTCGCAGAGCCAACCGCATCAAAGAGTGTCTCAATAAAGGGACTTTTGCTGGTAAACCAATGTGCCATTCAGTGCCATACTTTTCACAACACTGGAATCAGTTTAGGTGTTTTTTTATTTATGTTTCTGCAGTAATAGGCTATTGGTTCCATGTATGTGGATATAATATACATGATTGTGAAAATTCTTCTAGCTTGATTTGGCGAGTTGTGACATAGGCAAGAAAGATTTTCTCTCAGTTTCTAAAAATGTACACTCTGTACATTTGCTTATGATTTGCCATTGGATAATCAATGCATTTTTTACATCGCAAATGATCAGTTTGGAGAAATTCTTTCAAAGTCATCATTTGGTTTGATAACTGATATATCAATTTGCTTGTTTAGTTTTGATGCTTGCCCTTTTGCACATATTGTCTTGTGTTTGTGTGGTGTTTTCTGTCCAACTGGTTGTTATTGTTGCATGGTACTGAACTCCAATGTCAGATATCTATTGTTTTCTGAATGTAACTTCATATTCACCTTCTTTCATCATTTTTGTGTCTTCCTGATAATTATTACCAAGTTAATTTTGAGGTTTTCATAAGTTCTTCTCTAGCATGTTTGTTTTACCCTATATGTATGTGAATAGTGCTTTGCTTTTGAATGTAGCCCATTACATTGTCAGCACATTGTTACTTTATTTTGTCACCACACCACCTTCTTGTATGAAGCTGTAGTTTATTCAGCATTTGATTTAGGAGCAACTACCTCACATCCACTTTCTTTCCCCTTCTTTGAGCCAAAGACTTTTCAGTTTTCCTGTCAATTTATCTTTCTGTCTGTCTACCTGTGTCTCTGTGTTTGTCTGGCCCTTTGTTTACCTGTGCACGTGTCTGGACGTCTGCCTCGTCTGTCTTTCCCCTCTCTGTAGCTTGGGCTTCTGTGGCTTTCCAAAAGGGATGAACGCTCTTTTCCCACCCCGGTTTCAGATGTGGTGTTCCGTCTGGATGACGGCTGCCTCCCGGCCCACAAGCCCCTGCTCATTTCAAGCTGTGACTGGATGGCCGCCATGTTCCGTGGCTCTTTCATGGAAAGTTACATTGAGAAGGTGAGTTCATGTATACTGGATGGAATTACCTTTAAGTTTTTAGAAGGGGTTAAATGTCTGTGTTCTAAATCTTGGAAAATCAAATAGGACACTTAGAATACCCTTAGTAGCAGCAGTCTAGTCACACACAGGCAATTAGCTTGTAAACTCTCACAAAAGGGGAAGAATGGGATACACAAGTCATCGGGGTAAGGTTTATCATTTTGACAAGTTGATGAAAGGACACAGTGTAACAGATTACTCTAGAATGAAGGTTGAACCTTTTATCAGGTTGACCTACAAACATTTGTTTCGCTTGCAGATGTGGTTGAACGTCTGCAATCGCCAGCCTTCCGAGCATACTTTTGACACTTATCAAGGGCAAACCGAAAGCACTTACATAAAAACTCAAACTCATACATTTCATTTCCTAGAAACCTGCTTTAACCACACTGGTGATTTTTCTAAGTATTTTTTTTTAAATACTGGCAGATGTCAGATTCAAGTCGAGTAATATGAGCTCATACACATACAAACACACAGGCCAAGAAGTACTGTACTTCCCACCTCTGACCTGTTGGTGCTGAAGACTATATGCTCTGACATGATATAAACCACAGCCTGTGTGTTTTAAGTAACACAGTTAAGCCTCTTTTAACTGGTGGTTTGCTACCAACTAGTTACTTTTGCAAAATAGGAAGCTGTTGGATTATTAAAGATTTGATTTGATAAAACTTTATTGATTTCTTGGGAAGATTCCTTCAGGGAAATTACAACCCCAGCAGTGTCATACTGGTGGTAGATAAAGGGACAGTTAGCAAGTATCGTACATACAGATTTAACAGTAAATAATACTATATAACAAATTACTGGCTATTTTAAGGCGGTGGTGGTGGTGGCTGCTGCTCCTTCCCATCCTCCATCACCAATGAGGAGTTATATAATGGCATGAGGGACAAAGGAGTTTTTCAGACCTGCACTTGGGAAGGAGCAGTCTTGTTACTGAAACAGCCTCTTCTTGTTGCGGATGTTGGGGGCATAGGATGACTGGCATCATCCATAGTGTCCAGCAGTTTGTCCAAAGTTCTCTTCTCTGCCACCGACACTGTAGCTTCCAGCTTCAAGCTGAACACAGAGCAGAAAAGAAAGACCTGAGAGACACTCATTTGGAATTTCCAAACCATCAATGCTCAATAAGGATGTTTAGCAAAAACTGAAATAGTGCTTCAAGAAAAAGAGTATCTCTGTCAAGATCTTTGCTTCCCATGTGTCGGGTCTAGTAACCTCAGGTGTGCTCAGTTTCTTGTGGTAAGGCATGTATTCTAGACATGGCATCTTCACAAAGGAAGTTAACAACTAAAGCGCCCCAGTTTGGGTTTCAGAACCAGTTCTTAGAAGCTCTTTTCAAAGTATACTTGTTTTAAGTGATTCAAAGGATAGTTCAATTATTCAAATGGGGTTCTGTGTCATTGTTGGCAGTAGTCAATATCTTGCCAGCAGTTGACACTGGTCTGAACATTCTATTGGAATTTAAAAATGAAAAAAAAGTTGTTGGTTTTTTTTCCATTGTTTAAGTGTATTTAATTAATTAATTATCATCATCATCATCATTTATATATATATATATATTTATTTACTTTTTGCATCTGTACAGAGGACCTTACTTAACTTTGTTAGATAGGTTTGGAATAGGTAAGCTGATGGCAAGTCAAAGCTGAGCTAATTCTAAAGAAACTTGTTGCTGTGCTCAACTTTATCACTCTAGTCATGAAAAAAATCATAACAATTCATGCAAATTTAGTTTTTATAAACAGACACCACATTTGCAATATATGGGTATTTACATAGAAATTTACGGTTATTGACAGTCTGCAGTTTAATAAAAAAAATGTTCCATGTGAAACCAGTTAAACTCTCACTTGATTGCTGTAAAGTCCAGTATTTCAAACTGAGCACTGTGTATTGCTGGTAAGCTACTGATGACTAAGAATAACCCCCAAAAGTATGTTTTTCAAATATTCAGAACCATCTCATTGGAATTTAGTTTCTCAGAAAAAAAATAGAAAGCAAATTCTGCTGAAATAAATAAATAAATAAATAAATAAATAAAATAAATAAAGCTAATAAAAACAAATTCCATGTTTAGAAAAGCATGTTACTAAAACGTTAATGTGTATTTGTATTTTTCTACATAGTGTTTTTGTTTCCACACACTATAAGTTAGTGTGCAAAAGTCTGATGCAGCCAGTTGTAGCTGATGAAGAATCAGAGATATCCCAGATGTTGGTGGTGGTAGGGGCATATGTGGGGTTCCAGTAATTGCTGATGATTGCATGCTGTTGTTAATGGCTACTCTAAACAGTTCATGTCGAGGACTATTGGGCCATTTTCATGGTATGATGCTGATAAAGAGCAGGTCCTTTGAAGGCTCACCCTCAAAGAGCGACTGCACAATAGTTGTCAACATTTATATTTATGAAAACAGCTTCTTTATTTAATTGCATGTCAATGCATTTTCATATTCATGTTTCTACAAAGCTTTTCAGGGATAATTAAGATAACACACTTTAGCAGCAAGCTACCAAATATTTTGTTGCTTTGAAAATATATATTTTTTCACTGTTAGTTTAGTTAAAATAATTTTTGTTAGACTAAATCACACTTTTTTTATAGAGGAACTTTTTTTTAACATAAAATTACAATTTCTCACAGCAAATACTTATCTCAATCAGTTTATCTAGAGGTTTATTCATGCTAAATAATACTATTAGACACAGATGTTGTTGATGCACATATTTTAAGTTGATGCTTGAAAATTTAGAATATGATGATAGATTTGACCAATAATCTACCTGTGATCTCAAGTAAATATATCAGCTATATTTGTTTATTTTCACACTCATTGGGGTTTTAATAAAGCTTATTGTACACATGTATAACTCTGAGAGTAGCGTGTGATCACCCAGAGCCATCCTGTTATTATGTTCATTATACACTCTTTTCTGAGTATATTTCTGCTCACACAGTGTCCAGGTTGTGTGATAACAGGGGCTGCTCTCATTTTTGGGCATAATTTGTTCTATATTTGGAACAGATTTAGCATCATTATTATTTCTGCAATAAGTGTCAAATTCAGATGGACCATTAATTACAGATATAGGTTTGATACATTTTAAATAATTTCAAATAAATCTAAAAAATGTTCGGATGTTTGCTGACTGAGTAAACAGTCAAACAAACTCAGTGTGTGATGGTACACTTCTAAAATACTTACTGTGTCAATAGTTTCTTGGCCACTATGTGAAAATGCTTAAAGAAGTATTGTAGCTCATCAATAAAAGTTTTGTTTTTCTTCCTAAAATACAATCCAAACCAACTAAAACAGTTATTTATTTATTTAGTTACTTATTTGTATTATTGTTCTTATGGAAAAAAAAACCCACAATGAGCTTGCTGTAATTCAATGATCAGATTAAACTAAATGATCATTAAGCTAGCAGAAAGAGAGTAATGTTCAGTACTCACCAGAACAGATAAATTACCGGTAGGTAAATATACTGTATTTGATTTCCTCCATAAAGATTTTTTTTTCCCCTTATACTTTAATCTGCTAGCACAGTGGGACAGTGTATTATGTAATAAAATTAGATCCTTAAAGATCTTCAGGTGATAATATCCAAAAAAATAAAACAGAAATGATCAAATCAATAGTCAAATAAATATTGTAGCAATTTAAAAACGTGAGGATAACACTCCAAAAGGACAAAACAATAAAAATGGCATGGAAACAAAAGATCCAACATGTTTTACCGAATTAGAGCAACTTCTTACAGATTCAAGTATTTACCATCATAATAAATTGAACCTTAAGGTGGCCGGTTTCACATTTCTGTGTTTCATTATATCTGATTATATTAATTACAGGCCATATCCATAAATATGTTGCCTCTACGGCTGTGACACTCATTAATACTCTCAGACCCTTGCTGAAGATTTAAGTTCTAGAGCCTGCCCTTGTTTTTGTGTCGTATCTGTTTTTTTTTATTATTTTTTTTATTTAAATTATTTTAATAGGAGGTCGCACCAAGCTGACATTCTACTAATTGGTTATGGAAGGAGAAACTGAAGTGCCACAGTGGGTAGATTCAGAGAGTTCCCTTAGGGGTCAGGTCATCCCTCTCATAAACATTTACCGTCCTCCTCCTGGGGTTGAACCCCATCAACTGCAGATGAATTAGTCTCTTGTTTTGTTGTAGTAGTAATAGAGCTGTAAATATGTCTCTTTCTGTTGTGGGCTCTTGTTTATTTAACTACCTGCACAAATCTGGGGTGCTGCCAACTTTCAAATTTGCTTAGCCTGCAATTGTATTTTTATGGGTTTTATTCAAAAGGGCAATTCAAATAATTTAGCATTTAAATGGCATATTTTAAATTTGACACGCTTCCAGTTTGCCCATTCTTAAACACAAACACAGCAGCCCATGACGTATTTATATCACTGTCTATACAGCATGTCTCACACATTTACCCTGAAATACATTGTAAAAATAAAGAAATTTAAGGTCAGTTACATGTAATTGTGGTAGCCAGAATTTCATTATAAAAATATTGGGCCAAAAGTCCATTACTGAATATTTGTAACTGTGATTTAAATGTCACAAACATTTATTTTATCTAAATCTGAATTACAAATATAAAATATTGTAAAACGGTTTATGGTTATTCGTGGTAAAACAACAAATGTGTTGTAAATCAATTACAGTCATTTGGTAGTGCAGTGCAGTGAGCATTATCAGATTCTGTGGTGTTGGTCAATTCTTCAACATATGGAAAGAGTTGGGCTCAAACCAGTTGAGGTTGTAGAATATCCACTTTTACCTTCTACGCCCTAATAACCAGTGGAATGCACCACGGATGTCTTGGGAAGGGTTTTTATTTATGCCACTGTTGGTGTTTCTCCTGTTTTCATGTTTTCTTTAATTGTGGGTTTTTTCCAGGTACCTATCCCCAGCACCAGCACAGCCTGTATGCGCGGAGTGCTGGAGTTCTTGTACTGTGGTCTCCTAACGCCCAGTCCTGGTTTGGAGCCAATGGAGTTAATTATCCTGGCCAATCGACTCTGTTTGCCACGCCTTGTTGCCCTCACTGGTAAATATGCTCTATAAAGCACCGTAAACACTTCAGCCATAAACGTCTACCTAACTGTCTATTCTATATCGACTGGGTGTTTAAAGGCATTGCTTTGAATGCATTTTCTCTATGCCTACTAGGTTCTTTCTTTTTATTACTGACCATTTATTAGTTTTAAAGCAGATTAATGCAAATTGTTTAACAAATAAAGGGAGATAAACATGCAGGCCCATGTCAGCGGGGCATGTGAACTGCAAATACTTAAATGATTTTGTTATTTTGTGGATCTTCAGAGCAGCATGCTGTGGATGAGCTTCTTCAACAGGCGGTGAAAGGAGTTGATATTGATGGACAGGTGTTGGCTTATCTTGAGCTTACACAGGTACGTTCTTATCTCTCTCATCACTTGTAAAATTTATGGTGGGATTAACTGTGAATTAATTCAATTTATTTCAAACGTATTTCTTCATGCTTCTGTGTCATTTAACTGACTAACAGGTTTTATTTTGCCTGATGTTTTCAGAGCAGTGATGATTCTTTTTTTGTTGTTTTCCCCTTCTCTTTACAGTTTCACAATGCCAAACAGCTGTCCGCTTGGTGTCTCCATCACATCTGCACTAATTATAACAGCATCTGCCGCAAATTTCCCAAAGATATGAAGTCCATGTCTCCAGGTTTGATGCGTTCATCTTACTTCTCTTCATCCTGCCAGCCTGCATTTACTAAAGTTTTTGTACTTAAAAAAAATTTGGATCAGAAAGTCCTGTTTAAAGCAAGATGTACACTTTTTGAACTGAACAGGCTGTTGAGGAAATGCGGCTAGAAGAGACTTAATATCAAACATTTGGTTCGAGTAGGAGGACCTTTTTTTGGTTCTGCAAAAAGAATTATGTAATGCAATGATAAATAATAATAGGACAAACAACACCTCATGCTGTTATTTTGCTTTAATTTAGAGAGGAGCCTTCATTTGGGATCTTAACACAAGCATCTTGCTGTTTACACTCAACTTCACCTTTTATGAAAGTGTGAAGTCCTACTTTATTTTTATTTTTCACGTCAAAAATATTTTTGTCTTCCTTTTCCCTAGAAAACCAGAGGCACTTTGAGAAGCATCGCTGGCCTCCTGTGTGGTTCTTGAAGGAAGAAGACCGCTACCTGCGCTCGCAAAAGGAGCGTGAGCGTGAAGAAGAGATCCTGCGTAAACAGCACACTAAAAGGGGCTGGTGTTTCTGGAGGCACTCGTCCTCCTCGCCACATGTTTCTTAAAGAGGCTCCACTACTGACTCTTCATCCTGACATAGATGATCCCTTCAAGGAGCATAACCCCACACCACTTCATCAAAGTGTACGGAGGAAGATGTCTATGTGGATAAAAAAAAAACAACAACAACAAAAAAACTTGTTGTGCTAATAATTCTGAATGTCTGCATGTTTTGGGAAGTGTATGCGCCTCCTTATAAGTGTGGGTGACCACATGAATCTATTTTGGTATGTTGCGAAAGGGGGCATGTGCATGAGTGTGTGAGTATGTGTGTGGAATATTGTTACTTAGTGATGCTTCCAGGTTGAGTGCTTCACAGACGCCCTGATCTATAAAGGCCTGCAGCCGTGCATTGCAACACCCCCACCCACTCCCGTCCCTCCAATGCTTTGTCCTACCACCAGCACTCATAATGTTTTACCCTTTGAGTGATTGGACTGGATGCAAGGGCTCTCTTTCTCTCTCAGTCTTCAACCTTCACATTGCCCTTAATGACTATTACACTAACCACTGCAGCTCCCTTTGGGGGAGTTTACCTCTGCCTTTACTTTTTACGGACTGTTAGCTTACTCTCACAAAGTTGTGTCCATTTTCCACCCTTGTGAAACCAGCGTTGGATTTTCAGGAACTAACACTGACAATGGAGTTTTCTCTTCATTTTTTTCTGTATTCGGTTTAATTTCCTTTTGCTCCTTTTGAGATACTTTTATCACGAGAAACAGCACACCCTTCTTCTAGGAGGTGAACAGTTGCTTTTACCACCAATCTTATATACTTAGGACGGTACTATGCTCTTATCAGGAGGTTTGATCGCAGAAATTAGCTCAAGTGTAGTGCTGCTCTTGCTTTTTGTGTCCATCATCTAGCAATGCATTTCCTAACGCCTCTTTCTGCAAAAGCAGAATGCAGGCTCTGTTTTGTAATGCTTTTAGAGACCATCGCGTAACCATTTTATAGCACTGATGGCCGTTAAAAGGGCTAGCCTTACTTTATCCCTCTGACACGGAGGAGAAATGGATACAGTATTAAATGTTCTCAGCCACTACGATGCATTAAAGCAGCGAAGCAACATCACCAGGGGCCACACTGCTCAGGACCCAGCCACTAACCTAACAGGGGATTTCATTCTTGTCTTCATTTCCCTTGTTTCAGTGATGGAGGTCATCATAAAAAACTCAATCATGCAAAGTGTTAAAAACTAGTGGGAGCACATGCAACATGTATAGCAAAGCTCTAGTTCTTCCTGTCTTTCTTTATTCTGTCAGTGTTTTTACTGGATGTCTGAATGCAGGAGAAACAACAGTGACAATTAGAAGAAAAAGGCTATATACGATATTTGGACATCTCTTATTTTGGGGGTTGATATTTTAGGTCTTATTGTATGGAGATTTCAAGACGTTGCCTTCTGTTCCTGTTGTTGGAATTGAGAAAGGTGCTTAAACACTAACACAGAGTCCGCATGAACACAGACTTGTATTATCCATCTCATTCTTTAGTATTTGAGTGAACAGCGTGTAGAAATGTCACTATAGTATTCAGATATGACACTTGAGCAATTTTTTCAACTTCAGTTCCTCCTTTTCTATATACTGTCTATACAACTCATTTTAAATGGTAGACACTTTCTGGTTTTTCTAACAGTCTTTAAAATCTTGCAATTTTTTTTTTTTTGTCTCTTATACTCAAAACAAATATCAGCTTGTTTGGCTTTCTTGTTACCCAGGATTTTCCTTTAGCGTGTGATTGACTTTCAAGCTATAATGGTTGTTTCAAGCAGTTTGAGCAATTTGGGGTTTTCTTGTTATGGGTGCTAATTTCCTTGGACTTTTTATACTGAATGTTGAAACAGAAGATGTGATTGTGAGTTTCCATTAGCACGTTTTCTATTTGTGGGTTTGTACCCCTCAGCTTTACCCAGGCAACTGTAGGACGTAGACAGATAGTGTGAGACACGTGGTGCATTCTAGTGTTTTTCACAGGAGGTGTGTAAAGTAATTTTCAGCTACCAAAATAGAAATCGTACAGGATCTCACTTGGCCCAAGTGAGAATAGAGCTGACTTATGTCTAGAAAGAGTAAATGTGGCGTTAAAATTGAGAAAAACTTAGTTGACATTCATTGTATCTATAGAGTAGAATAATTTCATAGGTAATTAAAGTCATCCCAATGCAGAGCTTTGGGAAATTAAAAACAAAACCTGAAAAATATGTATAAAACATATTTCAATTTATCAATAGCGTTATAGGTTACCTTGATCCATTAGGTCTCATTTCTTAGTAATGTGCCTTACAGTTGGACACAATTAAATTGGAAAGTTAGCAACACCTCAGCTGAACCCTGCAGACAGCTGCTGCAGCCAAGGACACAATGAAGCAGTCCATATGAGATCAATTTATAAAAGTGTCACTATATGCACTCAGTAATTATCTTTCTTAATTTAAGGAAGGGAGCTTTCAAGCCAACTTGCCATGCCTTCACATATTTTTGGGCCTACTGTTTTATGCAGACAGTTGACTTTTTAAATACTTTAAACTGTGCAGTAGATTAGGTTGGTTAATCGTATGGCCTTAGATTAGGATGATCTTTATTTCTAGATCGAGACTCGTTTCTTCTCCGAGCAAGTGATCAAAAGGTAGCTGTTCAAAATGATCAGTTGACTCCTGCAGCTTATCTTCTAAACCACTGACTGTGAGAAAGCATTTTTTTTAATACATATATATATAGAAGCACTGGCTGGCCTGTGCGCTGGGAGATTGCAACCACTTTTGGAGTGTGGTTAATTTGCATGGTGCCCCTACTTTGTCGGAGTGATTCTTGTGTTGGAATGCACTTTTTTATTGTTCTCGACTATAGCATTCGCTAGTTTGCATATGTTTATACTAGGTAGAATCACTCTTAATCCTGATAACTGTAGCATGAGATTTCCACCTGTTAACGGTATTTAAATTACTTTTGAAGTTACTCCCTGAGGAGATTGTAACTAAGACTCATAAGACTTTGGCTTCCTTCAAGTCTTGTTGGCAGTGAACTGCCTGAATGGATTTATAACAATATCCGTTCTATGAAATGTTAGCGCAGCTTAAGAGGTAGCATTAAAAAAGTTGTAACCTGAATTAACTTGCCATCTATGGACATTAATTTGGAAACAAAAGTCAAACAAAAACTCTGTTGCTGCCATTCATTGCCACTGCCATCCCATGCATGCTAATACTAATCATACAAATGAGAATTATTCCTATGATTTAAAAAAACAAAAAAATTATAGTATAAAATGGGAAGTAGATTTAATATTTTAATGAAGTCCTAACTGGCTTAAAGCATGTTTGGATTAAGCTGCATGTAATGACAGTGAATCTGTGTATGGCATGGGCAGTTTCTATGTTGAGACAAACACTACCTTTTGTACAGGAGAGTTTGGATAGTGCAGATATTTTTAAAGTGAGAGTACTTGGGAAGGCTATGAACAATTACTGTCTTACCTGTTGTAGAATGCTTTTTGAACAACTTCATTTTGGAGTAACGGTTAAATCCTGGCTTGGTTATTAAGCTGAAAGGCTGTTCAAGCAAAGACCAAAATGACTGCTTGCTGTATTAAAACAACTCCAGTCAAAAAATAAAAAAATACATAAAATAAAATAAATCAATATGAATGCTATTTCAACTTTTTACTCTTGTTATTTTTGCATTGCATGGTTATTCTAGTAGAAATACTATATTACTGCTGGAAGTGACCCAAGCTGCACCAGAAATTTTGCAACTCACAACTATTTGCACCTTCTATATAAATAACCTTGATTTTTTTTTTTTAATGCCAGTGGAGATGTTTTAAAATGGTTGCAGTTCATTTGGGCTCTATTTGTGCTAGCTTGTCAAGCTGGTCAATTTTAAACTTTTTTTTTTAAACTGTCTTAATAAGGTATTAATTGTTTGTAAGCCTTCCACAGAACAACACTTGAAAAGTTTTGAACTATCAATTTAAGCTTTTTGAGTTTGGAACCTCTATTAAGGTCACCTAAAGTTTCTTTTTTTGGAGGTGAAATGTCTACAATTCAAGACAAAACACACAAAAAAATCTTACTCTTTGTTGATCTAATTTATCCATTGATATGTGATCCACATGATTCCTTCAAGCCGAAGTTTGACATTTTCACATTTTGCTGTTGGACATTGATTTATCTTTTGTGAATTGATTTCTATTTCATCTTGTAGACATAACAGTTCTTCCTACTTTGCAGGTCTAATGTCCCAACTTTATTGTGAGGCCTAGTTAGGACTGAGAGAACACCTTTTATTTTGAAGTGTTTGGTGTCTCCTTTCCTGTGCCTTCAGAGATGCCTCTCACTCGATGCACCAGTAGCCGCCTGGGCTCTGAATAACGTCATTTAAGCCAAGAAATGCTCACAAATAATAAATAGTAGGTTGTTTTTGTTGATGCACAGTCAAGTGGATTATTGCTTAGGTCTATAGTCACTAGATATTTGGATAACTTTAGTAAGCACATATTGAACTTCACAGGTTCAGTGTGTATCGTCATCTATGCCAAAGCTTCGCAATAGATGACTTAAGTATTAAAATGTAGAAAGAAACTAAGTAAACCAGCAAATAAAGAATCATGGTTCTTCACTCTTCCAGGTGCCTGCACTTTCTATTATGTAGCCTAACAAGATCTTTTATATGCTTTCTCTGTATTTACCAACTTTATTGATCCGCATTAAATGGCCATTTCGTTTCTCCACCTGGTTCTCTCTAAGCTAAACCCAGGAGTGAACTCTGTTGCTTCCATTATTTTACTGCAAGTTGAAGCCGTTGCAGGTAAATTCGGTGTCTTTTAAGTTGGAGAGCAGTATTTTTTAATACATGATTGTATTAGAGGCACATTTTAGCTGTGGCCGCTGTATTTTGCTTTAATGAAGGTGGGTTTTTATCCTAAATGCAGCACCGTGTTGTGGATTGGATGTAAGCGTCAGCTGGGAATAACCTCTCACTTTTTATTTTAACACTTACCACATTGTATGTATTAACTGAGTTAGTGTATACATAGGATTGTATGGGGTCATTTATATTGACATGGTGTAATTAACTCCTGGTCTATACTGTAATTTTTAAGTGGTTTGTATCTTCTGTATAGTATTGTTATGCACTTTGGCTTCCACGGTTTCATATGTGTGTTAATTACATTTTAATACTTTTGTTATGTTTAATACAAAAAAAAAATGTCAAAAGAAAAGAGCACAGCACTCTCACCAACAATTAAGGGCTTTTAAAAAGAAATAAAACAATCAGAATGTTTTGCTCCTGTTGCAAAAATAAAAGAAAACGTTTTAAAACTAAAATTTTGTAATTTTTGGAACCACTGTGATTTGTACAAAATATTAACGAAATATAGAAAAAGTTTTTTCTTCATTTTTATTTTATTTTTTTCCATTTCAGTATTTGGATGTTTGACTTGAATTTTATTAAAACGGTTAATCTCTCAGCGTTGTCTGTCTCCTGTATTTGTTATGGTGTTAATGGTTTCAAGGAACAATGTTGGTGTGCACTTCCATAACAAAGAAAATACACTGTTGCTTCCTTCTTTCAAAAGTTTATAAAATGAGTATAAATGCAGCTCTGCATATAAATAAATACCCATTTAAACCAAGATTATGATCATAGATTAGAGAATTAATTTGCAAAAAATATATTAACTACTGAGAAAAATATGAAAATGATTATTGCTTTACCACCCAGATACACAGAACATTGTGTAATTATTTGCACTATACAAATGTTGGACTAAACGGATAATCTAACATTGCTCTCTATATTAATCTCATATTTGCTGTCTTATATAATCAGACTCAATAATACATAAACCATGTCAATGTACAAAGCTATGGGAAGATGGTGATGGATTTTATTTTACTGTTAAATTGCCAACTAAGGAATGTTTTACTGAGAAAAACCTAAATTATATAGGCTTTAAATTTGCTGTTATTTATTGATGCATATTTCTGGCTTTTGAGTTAAAAAACAAACAAACAAACAAACAAACAAACAAACAAAAAAACAGATGCTGAATAGGTCCAAAGTATGTCAGAGAGTTCTTGGTTATTTCAGAAATAGAATGTTGTGTATACACCTGCATGCATGCATACAGACAGGTGCAAAACACTAAAAATATGATAACGGAAAAGAAGAAGAAGAAAAACAAAAAACAAAGACAAAAAAAAAAGGTACAAGATGAGCATAAATAAATAAATAAAAACACAAATTACCCTCATGGGACAAAATAAGGCTATAATGAAATGTTATCAAAATATGACACAAAACAATAACTAAATACAAACAACCAGAAATAAAAGACAAACCAGTAGCTCTGCCATATTCACTGAAACCTTAAATATGAACAAAAAAACACTTAAAAATGACAAAAACAAAATATGTCTGCAGTATCAGTTCACACTCTTGGAGAATATGATCATCCAAAGCTCCTGAGCTAAATCTTTTAAAAGTTGAAGAGTGGGGCCATAAGCTGATGTCCCAGGTAAATGTTGTAGTTGTGTTCAGTTCGATGAGCAGCTGGTCCTTCTCTGGTGCAGCACGTCCTCCTGTGAAGAGCGTTGGAACTGCAAGTGTGGAAAACTGGGGAGGAAAATGTCACATTTTCCACGGACCATGTCTAAAAATGCCTTATAAGATACAAACACAAACAAATAAATTAATTAATACATTTAGTAAATAAATAAAAGTATAACAGTAATGATGATGATGATAATACTAATAAATTAAAAATCCATAAAAAAATAAATAAACAACTAAATGAAGATTTAAAGGGTTACTAATAGGTAACAAAAAATAAAATAAAAAATAAATCCCACAAAGAACCACCACATAATGAAATGAAATGAAATAATGTAAATCTCAAAACAAGAACAAAACAGATAAATAGCAGTGTATTTATTTACTATGGTTTGCTGTGTCACAGTCTGTTTAAACTTATCTACCCATACAGTACATGGAAAAGTTAAGCAAATAAATAAATAAAATACAATAAAGGTATCTAAATAAAAACATTCTTTGCTCCGTGTTAGTGGTGGGGCCAACATTGTAGAACAAATTGCCATTGTACATGAGACAGGCTTATAAACTTATATTTAATATATGGCTTTTGTTACCGGCTAAGTGCTGACTTTGAAGTGGTTATTGTTTTAATCTTCTTTTTATTATTTGAACCTTTATTTTTTAATGAAGTATTTGTATATTTGTTTTATTTTATTGTATTGTACAGCACTTTATTCTATTGAGGAGTTTTGAAGGGCTTTATAAATACAACTAAACTGAATTGAAATAAGTTTTTAAAAAGTGTCAAGAAAATACATCCACTACTTTATTTGTGTGTGGTGGAGCAAACTGTGGAAGCAGTTTGTGGTACTTCAAAAACTCTGATAATGAGTTTAATTCATGTGTGCCACCTAGTGGGGAAACAAACCCAACATTACAACTTTTGTGCATTTCAAAGAAAAACAAACCTGTAAGTGGAATAGATTTGTGGAGTCTCATAAGTATAAAGGAAAATAGGTCTGAGTAAGAAACTCCATCATATG